TTGTGGTTGTAATGTGACAAAATATGGAAAAGTTCAAGGGGTATGAATACTTTTGCAAACCACTGTATATATATAAAACTGTAGCAGATGCATTTAGCCTAGAATGAAGATGATCGTGGCTGAAACAATTAGTCTAGTCAGTTAATTCAAAAATTTTCAAATTTAACATTTTATTTAACATTATACTCATTATTGACTTTTATTGAAACATTGGGGGGGCGATGGGGGTACGCTATAGAATCTTGTGACACAGCCTAAGCTTTTAACCATGATGGGTTTTTTTAAGTGTTCATTACTTTTACTTTTATACTTTAAATAGTTTTAAAACCATTACTTACTAAGTGGTATTTTCTACATAGATACAGAATTACCACGTCCTCTTATAGACACTGAAAAATACCATGTACAACTGACTAAATGTGAAGTAAATAATGTAGAAGTAATTTAAATTTTAAAAGTGAGAGTTTTACTCACTGTTGAGTTGTGCTAAGTTACATTGAATCATAAATTTCAAGTTTACCATTGGTATAAAAACTACTTTAACATTAAATAATAATAATAATAATTTAATAAATGTTCTCATTGGCGTGCTGGACAGCCAACACTCATCACTGACATTTATGTTACATTACAATATGCAGCCTTTGCTCCTCCTGACACTTGTCTGAATGGAGGCACTTCCCAGTAACGGGCAGGGAACTGAACATGGCTAACTGCAAGAAAACTGCTCAGCAATAAAAAGCACATAATACTGACTCCACGTAAAAGACCTCTGAAGAATCACCGCTGCAGAGAATTGGTTTTTGGTTGTGGAGGATTAGAGTGGATATTCATGTTAAACTGAAATAAAAACTGTTAGTTTAAAAAAAAGTGTAATTCTCTCTTGGGGCAATATAAACTCGCTTTAGCTGAACTAATTTCACAGAACGCTGCGTTTTCACCAAAAGGAAGAAAAAGCCTGAGGCCTGTAGAGCTCCCACTGTGCAGCTCAGGTTTAAGAACCACCACACTGCAGGAAAAAATGGACTTTTCTAAGCAAAAGCATTAAAAAAAATCCAGTACTTTACGTTTTAAATCTTTAAATACGGCAGTCACCCGTGAAATTCTGACCAGTCAGTAAAATGAGTAACAGTGCTTAAGTTCTCTAAACTCCGTTTTGAAAAAATGCTTGTACTGACAAATACATTCTTGTTTTCTACAAACTATTCTTCAGTTACAGGAAGGTTTATAAGGGACACCCCTCAGTTTGCCATCGAACCATTTGTCCAGGTGAGAACCTCCCTCCTAACGTTTTATTTGAAGGATTTTCAGTCTGGCATGACCGACTTTGGCCATTATTTCCTCACCATCATTAGATCTCTGCGACTCTCAGCCCTGTCTGAACGGTGGGACGTGTGTATCGGAAGGTCCGGAGGGGTACCGCTGCGTGTGCCCACCCGGCTTTGGTGGAGACCCTCACTGTGGTCAGTTCACCCCCCCCCCCACCCTGCGTGTATGACGGTGCCTACCATTGTCGAAAACTACTATAACCCTTTCTCTTTCAGCTCCTGCGTTATTAYTGGACTGTTCTGTGGATTTGCTCTTCCTGCTGGAGGGCTCTGCTGCGCTCACGCTAGAAGGCTTCCTGCGCTTCAAGGCCTTCCTGAAGCGCTTCATGCAGACTGTCATCGGCTCTGACAGCCCCAGTAAAGTCGGCCTGGCYGTGTTCGGGGGAGAGACTCGAGTAGAGGCCCAGGTTGGAAGGTTTAGGGGGGACCTGAGGGCTCTTCTTAAGGCGGTGGATTCACTTCAACCTCCTGGTGGTCAAACCCTGACAGGCGAGGCTCTCCGTCACGTGACCCATCATGGCTTCTTTGCTGACGTCTCTGAGGACCTTCCTCGCGTCGTGGTGTTGCTCTCCTCCACTCCTGCTGCCGACGACGCGATCGAGGCCTCTAAATACGCTCGGGATAGAGAGACCTTCCTGATAGGGGTTGGACCTGATGACTTAAAGGGGCAACTGGACAACATAACAGGAAATCCTCAGAGGACTGTCACGTATTCATCACCTGACAGACTTATTGGGAAGATCCCCGAGCTGAAGGCCAAGATCTGCAGTGTGGATGCACAAGGTACCAGCTGTCATAGACATACATGTTACTCTAATTTCAACATATGTTCAGAGCTGAAAATATGTTTTTAATCGTGCTAATTTTAAACTAGTCTTCATCTTTAATGTCTTTGCTGGTATATTGCTGCCACCTTGTGGCAGAAAGGTACAGTGTAATAGCATCTCTTGAACCAAGCCTGAGCCCCTTGAATAATGAACATAAACCCAAAAATACATTTTACATTAACAGAAATTTAAAACTGCGAAAATAAAATTCAGATCATTTCTATACACTTTAATTGAAGTCATTGGTACAGGTATGTTTCTTGGAGCTCCTTTATTGTATAAAACGAGGCTTAGAAGTTTGTAAACGCTTCAGAATTGTAATAATTCCTTGCATAACCTAATCTTAATTTTACATACAGTCTTTAATCACATTAAGATAAATAAAAAAAAAACAGACACAGACAAATTACACCAGACGTTTTTGTTTATTTAAAAAAACAAAACGCTCATTTGTGAACAATTTCTAGTGCAAGCAGGTGTTTTATTAGTGAAATATTAATCTTTCAATAYATGGGATGCTTGGTTTTTATTCAGATAACTGTGATTCTTTAAAGTCTGATCCTTAAAACATGGAACTCTAAAGAACTTGATCAATTTCCTGCTCATCTCCTACAGAGATCAAGGTAGGTGTTAGTCGGCAATGGCAACGTGTAAGCTATAAAATATAATTTTTGTTTATTTTTTGGTCCAACAGTTCACCATCAGTAAAACATTAAACAAGTGTTTTGCACCTGCAAAGGCTACAAAAAGGATATTTTCCCTTTCTGACATTTCAAGAACATTGAACTGGTGCAAAATATACAATAATTGAAGGTGTATATATAGATATACACGTATATACATATTTGTTTGTTTTTAGGTTGTCTGAGTCAGGCAGTGGACCTGGTGATTGCCCTGGACGCCTCAGCCGGTGTCGGTCGGGAGAACTTTGACACCCTGAAGGACTTTGTGCGCAGCCTCAGCGTTCAGTTCGACATCAACCGGGACGTCGCTCAAGTAGCCCTGGTCGCCTACAGTCGGAGACCCAACACCGTGTTCAGCTTGGACGCCCACGAGTCCGGCTCGGCCATCCTCGGCGCCGTAGGTCGGGCAGACTACATGGGCGGGGTGGCGTCCACGGGTTCAGCTCTGCTCCACATCTACTCCAACGTGCTGACTGTAGCTAACGGCGCGCGGCCTGGAGTCAACAAGGCGGCGGTGGTGGTGACGGATGGCTCAAACGGGGCCGATGCCGTGGTGCCGGCTCAGAAGCTGAGAGACGACGGCGTTTCGGTTTTTGTGGTTGGCATCGGAGACGTGCAGCGGGAGAGACTGGTGCAGATCGCAGGTTCGGAGGACCGCATGGTCTCCGTGCCGTCCTATGAGGATCTCAAGTACTTTGAGGATGTTCTGGTGCAGATGCTGTGCTCAGGTACAATCAGAAGTAAAAGACAGGAAATGGATGCTAAGAGACAAAGGTAAAAGATGAGTTCAAGCGTTTTGTTTGCATGTAGCTAAATGCTTGTGATGATTTCCTTTGATCAGAGGTGAAGAAGCCTGTGAACCTGTGCAAGCCCAACCCATGCATGCATGATGGGATCTGCATTCTGTCACCGGCGAGCTTCCAGTGTCAGTGCAACGGCTACGAAGGACCACATTGTGAAATAAGTGAGAGAACTTTGATTTTTCTTGCTTTTCTATTTCTGTTTTCCTGCCTCGACCCCCTTTAGGTCACTTCCCTTTTTATCTTGCCTTCGCTTACATCATAGGAAATTTGGCTGGAGGATACCGATGAAGATGATAAAATAGCTACAATATATCTGGTTGTTGGCTCTCAAACAGACGCTTGATTATTCGTAAGTCGCTGTCGCTTATTTTTGCGGTTTTCTTTCAGGAAGCAGCAAGTCTCCACCCAGAGGGGATGTTCCGAGACCCTCCAGTCTGAGGAAGAAGAGCAGACGGAAGAAGAGCCACCAGGAGGTTCTGCATCACTATAAACTACATCGTCGGAGAGACACTGTCTGACATGCACACAACAAACAAAACAAAACAAAACAAGGAAACAGAATTTTTACACCAAAACAAACCAAAAAAAGGAACATTTCARAAACAAGATGTTTGAAGAGTAAGGGGGAACAATATTGCAGTTTTTTCCTGGTATTTAAAGTTGCACACAGTTTTAATGTCTTGTTTTTTATTGTTATTATTTCTTTGCCAATTTTTACACTAATTTGTTTTACAGTTTGAAAATATCTGAGGATTTAAAGTTAAATTTATCATTTTTGTAAATCCTATTATTTTTTAATTATTTGTAAAGTCTAGCTACCACAACTTCTGTCCTTCTGCAACCAAACACGGCAACATGTTTCATCTGTTTTCATCTATTAAGGCTTGTTTTCATGTAATCTTATGTTTTAGTGGAAACATTTAACATTTTGGAAATGTACAGTTCAATTGATTTCAGTTTGATACACTACTTGCCAAATTCGAAAACATTCACAACTGTTTTAAAAAGTGTTTATGTTGAAATGAATCAGACTGTTTAACCAATAAAACGCCATCATAATTTTAACGCCTACAATAGTAAGAAACTCTAGAAATGTTCTTAACTTGTGTCCTTCACATATTTAAAAGAACATCCTGTCCATTTTCACCAAACAAGATGTTACATTTAGACAATAATCAAGTTTTTTTTCCCCTTCAGGACATTTTTATTTGAATAAAAAGTGCAGTTTAGCTAGCAATACAAGCCAAAAGGCTGAATAAAGGCGTAAATATATTTACATCTTGGCTACCAGCATACATGAACCAAGCTACAATCTAAAAATGTACAAAATGGACAATTTAGAAGAGGGGGCTTCTTTCTTTCTTTAATGGCTAGTTCAGATATTTTGAAGTAGGGGTTGTGTGAATACTAGGTTATATTTCTCTGATTTATACCTTTACATCAACATTAATGTTGCATTACATAAACTACTATGATTATTTTTGACTGGACTGTCAATCCAACAGCTCCAAGTGGTGCCAAAATTTGGTTTTGGCCCAAATCTTCCAGATTGAGTTTGTATAAAAAGCCATCTGCAACAGGTAAGATATTAATTATTCATACCTTTTCCACACACCCGTAATCCAAAAAATCGGAACCATCCCTTCAACATTAGTGGTTTTGTATTGTTYGGCTGTTTGCAAACGCTGCAGCATCCTTTCTGTGCGTCTGCTGCATCGGCCGTAACGCTGCTACATCAGTTTGTTTTTCCTTTGCGATTCGAGCAAAACAAGTCAACAAGTCTTTGTGTTAAAGAATCTCCAGTGGTATTCGAGAAGGCAGCTTGTGCTTCTGTCTGATTGGCTCTTCATAGTCTTGGTACAACACTGACGAGGTTCCGTGGAGAGGAGGGGTTGGGCAGTTTGAGCTTGTGGATCGTTTGCGTCTAGGTGGTGGATTTTTTCTCCCATTCCTTTATAAACAGACAAAACAAAAGAAGATTATTTCATTAAAAGATAAATTAAATAACGATGCTCCTCAGTTATTGCTGCCAGTGTGGATAAAATCTAGTCTCACCATCGCTTTCTGCAACACTTTGCCTTTCGTGGGCGTGAACGAGGCGGGTCTGTTTTTAAGAGCTGTGGCAGAGTTGACTGGAGAGGCTGAGTCTGCGCCGGCGGTGTTGTTAGAGGGTTGGGAAGAGGAAGAAGACGGCAATGACAATGCTGCTGATAACGATGGGTGGGGAGTGGGCAGGGTTGCAGCTTTGGTCTAAGAGAGATAAGGGAGAGAGGGTGTTGAGGCATCGCACGCCACGTTTGAGCCGATATGATCGGAAGCTGTGGAGCAGTTCAACCAACCGTGGGGGAGTCCTGGAGGCTGCTGTTCAGGGTGGTCCCCAGTGTAAAAGGCCCCGACTCCACTTTTTTCAGACTTTCTTTCACTTCCACCAGCCGAAGCTCCACCTCTACCCTGTGGCGCTCCGCCTCTCGACACGCCTCTTCCCTCTGCTTCAGTTGAGCCTCTAAGGTGGCCTGACGCTTAGGATCTGATGACAGACAGCTGTCAATCACCATTTGTTTTTCTTTTCAAACCTTCACAGAAGTACAGAGCTCATTCGGTGGGTAAAAAAACAGTTAGAGATAATTACTGCAGTCATTTCCATTCAGAAACGGTTTATTGTTAACATGGACAAGTTTGAATTTATTTCATTTCATTTTAATACAGGAATGAATGACTTCAGTCGCTCGTGGTTAGGCATGAAGTAAACCTTAGTAATAAATGTTGCAGCTATATGACACAGGTGATGACTGGAGTTGTGTTTGTCCAAAAAGCTTTATTTTTTTAAGCTCACCATTTAAAACATGCTCCTCTCTCAGGAGTTGGAATTGTGTTGTGTTTAGGAAAAAAAAAAGTTTTCCAACACCTACTTTGAGCATTTAATGTCATCTTGTAAAAACTAATACAATAAAAAATGAACTGTTTACAATAAACTATGGAGGTATTCCCTTTGGATTAAAAACACACAAGGGTGGTGTACCCTTAAACAGRTAAAACACAAAAAACAGAGTATTCTTATATAATCTGACTCCAGCAATGTCTGTACTTCTCACAAAGAGACATGGTTGCTTAAAATCATCTTGTGGCTGTGCATTCATTTAAAAAAAAAAAACAATGTCACCAGCTGGGCTCCGTACAGAAGTAGCGACAGAGTTCAGACCTACCCTGGCAGGCGCCGAGTTCCTCCTTGGTCTCCCTCCTCTCCTTCTTCAGGTTCGCCAGACTGCTCTTCACCTCCTCTCGCTCTTTCTCCAGACGATCTCGCTCGTCCGTGTAGCGACGCATGTCCGCCTCGGTACGGTTCTTGCCCAGTTTTACCTCAACAGCACTGGAACTCCCTGATTAGAAAATGTATATATATGTATATATATATATATATATATATATATATACATATACATATAATATGAGTAAAGTTTAAATTTAAAATCTCATTCATGTCAGAATTTTAGGTTAAGATCATCCTCTGAGAAATGATCTATAGCTTTCTTAGTACTGTGCGACTGGAARAGCAAGAATGATTCAAATCTTTAGTCTGGCTTTAGTTGTAGAGGGGTGCTTTTCACTAGAGGGCGCTGTAGGAGTAGGATTACAGATCAGGGAACCAGCCACCACTTTATTTGTCCTGGTCCAGAACCCAGTAAAGCTTCCACTCACCTATGGTATGTGCCTTCGGCCGTGCAAGTTGTGGGCTTTTGGGGAACAGGTTACTAACAGTCTGGACCACTGGGCTCTTCTGGATCTGTGCCCCAGTAGAGCTGAAGGCTTGCGAGACTCCAAGACTGAACCTCTTGGAGCTCTCCTGTCCTTGGGAAGAGGTCATGGCTTGTGGAGGTTGAAGCAGTGCACAGTTGGGAGTCGGTGATGACTGTTGCTCTGGCTTGCTTGCGGCAGAGGTTGAAGTTGGTCCGTTTAACGCAGGCGCTGAATCTGGCTCAGTAACGACCTGGAATTGAAGCATTTTCAGCAGAACGGTTTTGGTGACCAACCGAGTTGATTTCACCAAAACAGAGTATAAAGCTGGGGCATTATTGCCCCCTTCTTTACCCCCGCCCTTATTGGTGCCCCTGCAGCGAGCTAATATTTAGAATGAGAAATTACGCGAGCACTGGCAGAATATTTGATGATCTACCTCCTTATTTTGACTCGAGGGATCCTGTTCCTCTGCATGGACTGGAGACTCTCTGGAGGTTTCCTTGTGAGGCGACGTTTTAGATCCGCTGGTTGGATGGAGGAAGGAGGGCAAAGGAACTAGGTCCAGATAAATTTTGCTGTTGTTGTCTTGCTCGGCATCGGTACACCACTTAGTAGTTTCTGACTGCATCTCATTATCCTCTTGGACTCTGTTGCCCTCACAGTTTGGCTCGCTGCTCTCTCCAGCATCCTGTATGATTCGAGAGGAGGATGTTAGTGTTGGGAAACAGCCAGATATCAAAATGAAACAAAAAAATACCACAAACGCCACGGGGGACTCTCAGTTCCCATGTTTACCTCAGGATCAGCTAAGGATGCCACGTCGTCGTACAGCTCATTTGAGTCTTGAGAAATGGAAGGAATTGCGTCTATATAAGTATTTGGCTCTGAATACCTCCTCTGCATCAAGCTAGAGACACAAAAACAAATCTAGTTGAATAACAGGGAACAGCTTTCTTTTGTGGGGGAAAAAAACAGGAAAAAGACTTACTATAATGAAGTCTTTGCAGCGCTGATGATGGTAGAGATTCTCTCAGCGTTGACGTAGTCATAAGTGAGGTCCTCTGGGTCGGTTCTGGTCCCTGTCTGTGACAGCAACAGGCCCAACCAGTTCCCCATATCTAATGATGATTTTGCCTGGTTCGAGAGGAAGGAAAAGAATTTGCTTTCAGTATGAAACGAGCTCTTGCAACATCAGAAGTTTAAAGCCGCGTGGGTTTATTTCGAATGCCACTCATCACTTTGAATTAATGAAACGATTGCTACAGCCCCGCTTATTAGTTGAACGCCTTTAAAGAAGTGAACTGAGACACTGACGGAGAACTGCTCGCAGTTTAACTAAAAAAAAAACGGTGCGAAGAGATCGCCGTGAGAAGCAAATGGTAAAAGTGTTTTTGCCCTCGTGTTTGTCGGTTAGCAGAATATCTCATAAGCCACCAGATGAATTTCAAAGAAACTCTCAGATCATTGGGCGTACATCGACAACTGATTCAAAATGGCCGCCACCGCTAATTGACCTTATCCAACACAAACATGGCTATGACTCAGTCCTTTTTACAGATACAGATACATTTGATGGTAGTAGCTGAGAGTCATCTGAACATGTCTGAGTGCTAACATGTGAAACAAGATCTCACAGTACTTAAAGTGCCTGTGACACGCATATCCACGAAATACAAAAAGTCAAAGAAAACATCTTTTTATTTAAGAAACTTGGTTTAATACGCATGATTTGACCAATTATGTCCCATAATTGGCATATTTTCTTTTGATCTTTGCTCCGACAAAGTGAAACAGGAAGTGACATCAAAGGGGAACTCTTTGAGAAAGAAAACTCCCTGTTTTATGTTTCATAAAACAATATTTTTTGAACCATGACTCTTCCTCATCTCCCCATTATAGTAATTAAAATGATCTAAAGACACATCAGATTCTTCTCTACAGTCTGTGTTGTTGGCCTTTGTAGCAATGCTCTGTTCACATGCAGAAGTTACCCTTTGACATCACTTCCTGTGTCTTCACATGTGAATATCTCAACAACCGTTCAACTCAGCTGCATGAAATCTTTTTTTTTTTACAATATGTTGTCAATGTTACCTTTCCAAAAACGCATTCATATTTATTACAAAAAATTGATGTCACAGGCACTTCAAAGTTGGATCCAAATGACTGTAAGGTTGGTATGAAAAGGGTGACATGCATTCATTTAAACAATGCAAAGCTTTTAATTCCTTTAGGTGCTTTAAATGCATCCACGGTTTTGAGCTGTATCAAGTTAGCATGGGGAGCACTTTTCTAATAATATAATGTATCTCTGGACAAATTTATATCCATCCAGCCAGTTTTTTTTACCCACTTTTCCTCTCAGGGCCGCGGGGTAGCTGGTGCCTAAGTCTCCAGCAGTTACAGCGCAACAGCCGATGCACTGGACGGGTTGCAAGTCCTTCACAGGACCATATAAAACAAAGACGTTCACGCTTTTACTCACAACTTACGGGACTATTTCGGGTAACCAGTTAACCTATCATGTTTGTTTTTGAGAGAAAACCTGAGTACCATGAGAAAACCCCACACATGCAGTTTAGAAGGGGGAGGGAGAGGGGGCAGGAGGAGACCTCAAGACTAAATATTAAATTCCAATGCCTATGACTAAATACGCAGTGCAGCTGGGTGGTACCGAAGGACTAATGAAGAAGGGTGTAGCGTCAGTCTCCAAAATCCCCAAAACATCCACACCCTCCACTCTCACAAGCACACGCTCGTGCACGCAGACCACCCTTACGTGCCTAAAATACAGAGCAAGTCAGCAAAGGTATATTTATAAACCGGAGCAATCAGTCTTGTCTGAGTTAGCCAAAGCTCTCCATCAGATCAGCATCATATTTGTCTAAAATGCAGTGAGAAAGGAGYGAATATACCAAAATATAACAATAAATTTTACCAATTATAACGCARTATAGGGTATTACGGGGTGGGGGGTTGTATGGCGTGTTGTGCTCTTCTGCTCTCTATCGCCATCAAACTTCATACAAATTTCGTCTTTTTATTCTCTTTTCTGTAGATTTATTTTTGGGTATTAGTCATGTAATGTTGGGCCTCGGTCAGAAAGGAGTTCAGGGGGATTTATGTTTTTTTTTTTTCAGCTCGAGAGAAAGATTAGCCAGATGGTGGATTGAGCTGATTTTTTCCACGAGATTACCATGCTTCCTTCTGCCTGCCACTGCAGCAGGCATCAAAYGAGACGATATGTTCAGAAAATAAAGTGGGAGTAAACTATTTATCATTTGACCTAGCAACGCAATTTAAAAACTGGTGTATAGTTTTGACATCAATTGAAACAGAGTCTATAGGCTCCAGAGACTTAATCTACCATCATCATTTTTAAATACCCCCAGCATATTTCAGTACCGAGGTATAACTCAATACCGTCGTATCGCCCAAACCCTATTTAGCACGTTTGTTTACCTCCAGAGTAGCCAGCTGTGTGCCGTCCAGGTCAATCCTGAAGGAGTAGAGGTGCTCAGGGCTGGGGTCAGGCGAAATGTTGCAGCCCTCCAGCGTCACAGCTGGCTGGCTCAGTTTGCTCTTCCCCTTGTCTTGGTAAAACCACAGCTGGCCGTTCTTTATGAGACACCAGCAGGGACGCCACTGGCTGTTCACCAAAATGTTGACGTAGCCTGAGGGAGGATGAGAGCACTTGCGTTTTTACCCTGGTAGATAAGGGTATTAATCTCATTGTATAGATGCACCATTTGACATAGTGACAGATAAACTTCTACTTTCAAAAACCACATTCTCGGCCACGAGTGTTATTTGCTGTAGAACTTTGTCCACTTCGGCTCACTTTGTACCCCCTTTGGCAGCAGGCTCTATATTTATATTTTATTTTGTAAGTACACGTTTGAAATGATGAGCAGATTTGGAACAGTTCATACCTGAGTTCTCAATGCTTTTCTCGAGACTCTCTGACGCCGAGGGTTTTCTCTTGGCGATGTTCATCAGGTTGCTGAACATCAAACCTGCACCAGATTTTTTCTTCACTGCGGAGACAGAAACACAAAAACACAAAACCAGTTTGAGAAAKGAAACCACCAAAAAATAATTATAATCTCCCCGTAATCACTCACCATCTTTGTTTTCTGTCGTTTCAGCGTGGCTGTCCGTGCTGCTGCCGCTCTCTGAAGCCACCGAGTATCTCTCGTTCAGCTCGCCCTGTGCATTCATATTGGCGTTTTAGCTTTATATTATATAGCTATAAGATTTGCTTGACCCTAATGTCTTAATACAGCTCCACAGATCGGTGCTGCCATGTCATGTCAGTGTTAATGCTGATAAAAGTACCTTTGAGCAAATAAGCCTTGGTGACTCAGACGCAGAGTGTTGGAGGTCACAGTTTTCAGCTGGCTTGGGGCTGATTTCTTGAATAACCTAAAGAACATAAAAGTGATACGCGCATTTTTCAAACTATCACGTAAAAATGACCAAATAAAGTCTGTTTCAAAACGCTCGGTTCGTTACCTTCAGCCACTGCTCCGCTTGTTCTTTGCTCTGCAGACCCAGAACGATGGCCTCCCCTCCGACTGGGATGATCTTCAGCTTGTGCTCTTTTCTCTTGGGCTTATTCTCTTTGTAAGTCACGCTGCAGCCCTGCAGACTCACATCCAGCAGAGGCGTTTGCTCTTTGGAGCTTTTGTAGCACTGAGAAAACAGTTGATGAAGCAGTGAACGTCTGCTGAAATATGCACGCTCGTGATGGTGTCCAGCAATATTCAAGTGAATTTAATATAAAAATTCACCTTGTCTGTTAATGCTTTACCAAGTACGTGAAATCTAAAGTATTTTGATGTATAGAAAAGTTTATGATAAACAATGACTGTAAAAGCCCGACTCATCAATTCTCCACTACTGTGCTTTATAGCTAGAATGCTGACGTTCACCAACACCTCATGTGCATGCATTCATACAAATGTGAAAGTCTATGAACATAAAAACGTCTTGTGGATTTTTTTAGACGCACCGAGCTTCTGTGTTTGTTGTTGTTTTTTTTWAAAGAAGACATGTTCTCGTTGTAGCCATTTCTGTCCCTTAGCATTTAAAATCCTAAATGAGGCCTAGGAACTATGAGATGTAACTTATGCTTTTTTAAAATATATTTTTGCCTTTTTTTTTTTTGGATTGATGAGCATTTTTATTGAAAATCTACTCACCAGCAAGCGATAGTCTTTGATAACACAGAGCTGTTTAGCCCACTGGCCAAGCCATTTTTTCCTCCACAGGAAGGCACATATGCGAGCATCCTTCATCAGCTCAATGGACGCCTCAGCCGACGGCCACTGGTGCTGAGCTGATGTCGACTTCTCTCTGGCCGCTTCCTCCTCATCGTAGGACTCGTATGAACTGCTGACTGCCTCTCCGTCATCTAAGAAAATGAAAAAGAAGAGAAAAATTCTTGTTGATTTATTGACCCATTTGAATTTAGGATTTCCTTAAAAAATACTGATAGTGGTTAAGACACTAAAAGGCCTCAGTAACTTCACAAATATGTAGATCCTGTGGTATAACAGTTATGACTAAGCACATCTAGATCCTACTTGGCAGTTTTTTTTCTCAAGATCCCTCCAAACGAGCTTCAGTTGGTTGCATTCTCCAACTTTGCCACTAGATGTCACTATATACTAGATGATGGACCTTTAAACCTAACTCTTACCATTGACAGTTTCCTCGTAGGGCTGGGCCTCTTCATAGTAGCTCTCTGAAAAGTCGATACAGGCTGGAACTGGAATTGCAGGCAAGGGAAAGGGTTCTCTGCCTACGACACCCTGACAAACAAACAACAAAAAAAGATAAATAACAAGAAATTACAAGAAAAACAAACAGACAAATGTAACAATCAAAATTTCAGATCTGTTTTATTTCTTTCTTTCTGACTGTAACATTTTCTTAACATTTTCTGATGGTGGGAAAATGACTAACATGTTGTTCTTGCAACCAGAGCGTGTGGTTAATCCAGCCATCACTGGAATAAGTAAAGGCATTTCTCTGTGTAGCCCATCCGTGTGTCAGAGCCGTCCATGTTTGCCTTCAGGGGAGAATGTATGAGTAAGCACAGAAAGGGGATAAGGGGGGCACGAATTTATATGTATTTGTGTGCTTATGTGCGGCTTTCCCCGAGCTCAATCAGCCGTCTGGCTTCACTTCTGTGTTTCTTGTCAACCCCCTCGTGGTAAAGACMGTCTGTCGAGCACAAAGCGCCCAGCCAAGGCCGTAAATTAGCTATGATTCAATAAATATTTAGGAGACTTCTGTTATCACAAGTTTTTATTTTATTTTGCTTTTCCTGGGGATAATGGGCTGGGAATCTTGAAGAACTTCTCCCAATGCACACTTTAAGCTAAAAAAAAAACTATAGTATTTTCATTCATTTAGTTAAATTTAAATGCTAATATGGTGACAACCTTTCCCTGTTTTGTAGTTATGTTTCATACAACTGATTTCCTTTCAGATTCTGATACCGTGCAAAACTCAGGCTGGTATCAGCGCTGATTTGATACTAGAAAATGTGCAAATGTGTCTGATAAATTTAAAAATAAAGTAGTGTATTTCAAATCATCCCTTCATAAGGAATACGAGTCATCAGATTATTCATTTATTCATTTTAAAGTCAGAACTACAGTATATTGATGTAGTGTCCTCGTTTACGATATAGTCAAGCGAATGCAATAGAAACAAACACAATACAAAATATGTTAAAATGGTGTTTTAAACACGAAAAAAATTAAAATAATAAAATCACTAAAAAAGTCTCAAGTGGAGGAGTTTAAGTATCTGGGGATCTTGTTCACGAATGGGGGAAGAACGGAGCGGGAGATCGACAGGCGGATTGGTGCAGCGTCTGCTGTRAAGCGGGCGCTGTACCGGTCCGTCGTGGTGAAGAGAGAGCTGAGTCAGAAAGCGAAGCTCTCGATTTACCAGTCGATCTACGTTCCTACCCTCATCTATGGTCATGAGCTTTGGGTCATGACCGAAAGAACGAGGTCCCGGATACAAGCGGCCGAAATGAGTTTCCTCCGCAGGGTGGCTGGGCTCTCCCTTAGAGATAGGGTGAGAAGCTCAGTCATCCGGGAGGGACTCAGAGTAGAGCCGCTGCTCCTCCACGTCGAGAGGAGCCAGTTGAGGTGGCTCGGGCATCTGGTAAGGATGCCTCCTGGACGCCTCCCTGGTGAGGTATTCCGGGCACGTCCCACCGGGAGGAGGCCCCGAGGAAGACCCAGAACACGCTGGAGGGACTATGTCTCTCGGCTGGCCTGGGAACGCCTTGGAGTTCCCCCGGAGGAGCTGGAAGAAGTGCTGGGGAGAGGGAGGTCTGGGCCTCCCTTCTGAAGCTGCTGCCCCCGCGACCCGACCCCGGATAGGCGGAAGAAAATGGATGGATGGATGGAAATCACTAAAAATGTATTGTTTGATTATCAAGGACTACTATAAAAACAAAAACTTGCATCATAATTTACATTACATGAACATATTAACACGAGAGACTGACTAAGCATGCGTCGTTGTGCTTACGCTTTGCCCAGGAGGAAGAAAAAGTAGTTCCTACCAACTGCAAATGATTTAGACAAGATTTCAGTAGTTTTTTTTCCTGCGGTCCTGTTAATTATATACATTATCTGAAATGACTAAAGTCATTCATGGGTTTAAATGCTTCAAGTGTCAATTTAGAATCAATTTTAGAGCATAAAGTTCTGGTATTGGTGGTATTGTTATTTCACTTGATCCGCACATCACTGCATACCTGCCAAACGTCACGATTTGTAAAGGACAATCCTGGATTTGACCCCTGTGTCTCACACGAGGGTGGGCAGGATGCTTCAATGTCTCGCAACCAAGAAGCACTGGCTTTATTTATGAGTTTGTGCTTTCAAGCCATGTGTGTGTGTGTGTGTGTGTGTGTGTGTGTGTGTGTGTGTGTGTGTGTGTGTGTGTGTGGCGTGAGGGTAATTTAATGTCTATAAGTTTGAGTAAACGGGAGCAAATTAATCTTTAGTTGCTGAAAAAGAAAATAGTGCGTAAGAGAGTGTGGAGGTGTGATTTGCTGTTTATTTTTGAAAACAAGATTTCAGATCTGAATTATTATTTATTTAATTTTAAATTTTTTGTTCACAACCAGCAGTTTTACAGCTCCACCAGGGGATTGTGTAAATATCATAAGGAAAGGACCAAACAGTGTAGGCCAAGTGGTATGTGTAGTTTTTCTGTGTCAGTAGATTTCCCAGGCTAGTCTGTTTTTGTCACTAACTCATGGTGTTCAGTATGTAAAAACTAAACAAAAACAACAATAAAGGGGTGCATAATTTTGCAATTATGATCTCAGACAAAGTTCACCTTAAAGACAACTGTTCTGCAGTTCAATAAATACTGTATATCATATAGCATTTTTTAATGTTTTTAAAAGACAAATGGCTGGAAAATGCTACGGAGCCGACGAGGGGACATGGCAGATGTTTTTCTTTTGCGTTCCCACGCAATAGTATTGCGTTACCTCGCAAAAGTCGTTTATCACTGTTGTGCCTGCCGCTTTATTAACAAATTCTCATGTTCACCATTAGCGAGTTAGCCTACTGCTTTAATTCAGCTTCAGAATGAATATATCACAGCCACGCATGGAAGTATGTCATATGTCGATATTTTAACACAGTGGCAGCCACGCAACATCCATGTCAATTTCACAAACTTGTGGCGACACATCCTGTTTTGGTAACTGGATATTTCAAAATAAAAGTCTGATTCAATTCATATACAAAACAAACTTACGTGGGAACGCAAAACAATTTTACGAGGGAAGGCAAACGTTTGCGAGGTAACGCAAAAGTATTGTGTGGGAACGCAAAAGAAAAAAAATCCCCCCATGTCCCCTCGCGGGCTCTGTAAAATACATAGTTTTGAGTAGATTTTTAAAATAAATTCAAGGGGGTATGGATCTGGACTCTCTCAAGATCATGTCACACAACTGGCAAACATTAATACATATCAATGTCCCTTATTGCCATCAGTAAATCTCAGCAGGCATGCTACTGTTTCACGCGTCATTAGGAGCCTGATACCACAATTTCAGAAGGATGCAACAAACTCTTTTTAAAATATACCATTTTTGTGTGTTTTTTTACTTGCATATTTTCTGTTTTTACAGAAAAGTGCATTTTAATTTTTTATTTTATTTTAGCATTTATGATGAATCATTTTAGGTGATGCAGCTCTTCTAGCATTTACGGTAATCTATACGTCTAGCCTGCAGTTTCCCCGACCCACATTAGGATACAGGGTGGGCCTTGCTAAATTTTTACTGAAGGACCCTGTTAWAGAGTATCATTCAAAGAGCATTTGGGAACTTCAGGAGAAATCAGGACTCATCTAAGTCACAGTTTATCTGCGTATGAAGGCAGTGTCACAGTGTTCTTTGAAATTGTTTATTTTTTATTAGTATTATTATTTGTCTGTAACCAAGATTGTTTGCGTTAAAACTCTTCATTGTGCAACAGCCTTGTCAGCTCAACAGTGTGTGGTTAGTCATGACTTCATGATTTCATCAAGCTTGCTTTCTCAGTCAAACTCTATGCTGATACTCCCCTGTAAGCTGGAATTTTCTTTACTGGAAAACAATGCAGATTTCTCAATCAGAGCTCTGAAGCTATTACTATCGTCTGAGGTCACAAAAAGAAGTCAAATGGCTTTTGTGTATTGGTGCAATGCCAAAAGCACTTAAAATTTCCAGTTTGTGTGAAATACAGGCTAAATAGATAAATGACCGGATGACGCGGCTTTTGTGTTGGTTGTCTTAAAAAACTGAAAGCCCACTAGTGATTTCCCAACTACTTTCCTCCCACCACTGATGTGAACACATCTTCTTTCGTTTTAACTTGAGCTCTTGTAAAACTTAAAATACGTACTTGCAAAAACCAAATATGTGGATTTAACCCTTAAGCAGAGTTGTTATAACTGCCTTCAGCACCTTCAGCAAAACAGTCTAATTTGATTGATTGATTTTATTTATTTAGCCTCGTCTTATCTGTTGAAACAAAAACTCCAATAGAAAATTTCTCAATTCCATTTAGGAATCTTTATTTTTATTTAGGACCAGAGTGACTGTCTGACCAACAAAAATAAAAATCAAGTTCTTTTTGTCTCATTGTTTAAAAATCTTAAGACTGTTATTTTTGATGTGGGCCTTCAGACTCAGTCCCCCTTTAAGTCTCAGTAATCAGAAATGTCTCTGCTTGGGAGCTTTTCCCACACTATCGTGTTTGCAATCTAACACATTTCCAGTAATGCACAGCAGATGCAGTAAGCTGTCATAATAACTGGCGTCATGTCACTGTTGGCGCACAGTCTCGGTGACGGAGACGTGTGTGATTAGTCTTCATGCCAGAACGTGTCGGAAAGCGTCCACAAAGACAGGCGTGGGACAGAAATGTTATCAAGACACTTAAAGGCTGAAGGAGTATTGGTCATACATTATATTATAGGAAAAATGTTTGATTGTTCTTGATCTGACTGTGCTGCATTCCTTCTGTATTGTTTGACTCTTTGATTTTGTCCATAAGGTTGAGTTGCCAGAACAGTATAGCATGACTGCAGACATTTTGCTTCTCGAGTTCTTGCTCTGTTCCACCAACAATTGTGAACAAGCTGACATATCTGAACTCCTCTAGTTCAGCCCCAGTTCCAAGCTGGAAACCCACCCTTTTCCAGCTGAAGACAGTGACCTCAGACTTGGACACGCTAACCCTCATCTCAGCTGTTTTACACTTGGCTATAAACCCTTCCAGTGCCTGGTGGAGTTCCCCACTTGATGAGGCAAAGTGGTACACATTATTGTTTAAAGGCAGTGGTACAGTTTGTAGTGGAAACTGGAAACAAGCTGGCTGTACCCAGAGGATCTGACCATAAAATTTATGAGCAGAATCATGACAAATGGCAACCCATTAATTTCTAAAAACAAATAAATAGAAACTGACCTATTTACAGCATTAAAAAAACTTGTGTTTTGGTTGTGCACACATACCTCATACAATGAAAGTATCACCCACAAGTATCACTCCAAAATAAATCCATAAAAATAACCCTGGTCAACAATGCACACAAAGATTGCTCTATCTGGTCTTGTAGTAAAAAAACACATTGGGCCTCATGCAAGAACATGTTCGTATTTTTATCCTAAATTTCTCTTACTTTTGTTCGTACAAAGGGTTCGTACGAACATGTCACGTCAGATTCAACAAACTCTTCTATCTTCAGGAAAAGTGTGTAAATGAGCTGCGTAAATTCCACCTGTTAATATCCAGCTGCTCGTGCACGCGAGAGGAGATTAGCATAATTACCACCCCAAAAACACCATATAAGGCTGTGTTTCCTGCCTCAGATATCAGGAAGTGTCCATTCATGAAAATGGCACCGAAAACTTAAAAGAAAAACTATGAGTTCAGAGATTGAAGTCCGTCTGTCAGAGATCCAGAAAAGAAAATCTGTCATTTTTAGCAGCTCAGCTGTGGAATAAAAAGAGCTGCTAAAAGTATAAACAACTGTGTTAAATCATTTTCATTTATTCAGAAGCCACAGCGCAGCGCTGCGCACCGTAACCCCCCCCCAGTGCGCTGCGCGGCGCAGGTGGTCTCAGATGCGGGTCTGAAATAAGCATTTTAAAATGTTTTTAAAATAAGTCTGGCACTTTGGAGAAAATCCTGGACTTGATCATGTATCCCCTCTGGTCTGGGAACGTCTTGAGTTCCCCAGGACGAGCTGGAAGGTGTAGCAGGGGAGAGGGGGGTCTCTCTGCTGCTGCCCCCACACCCGATCCCGGATAGGCGGCGGAAAACGGACGAACGGACAATTTATATTGTTAGTCTAAATTATTACATTTAAAATTATAACTCTAATTCAAGCAGAATAGCCTATTGTCAACATAATTATGGAGTGTAATTTATTTTCAACTCAAAATATCTTCAAACTAACGAAATATAAAGTTGTTAGTGAAGAAAACCCGTCTGGATAACAGCAGACTGACTGCTGGTAAAATMTACGACAGGTCTGGACCACTCGTGAATTTTGTTCGTATCTGAAAAAAATCTTAGAATACGAAAACATTGGTGAATGSCACAAATTCTCCTAAATCACTCATACGCACAACTTAAGAACAAATCTGTGCGTACGAACGGTTCTTGCATGAGGCCCATTAATTCTCTTGGACCAAAGGTTTGAACATCAGCTGGACTTCCCTCTTCTGCTCACCAGAACAGATTTTCTTAGTAAGGCTATGAAAGTGTGATCCAAGGATACCGAGAAAACTAACAACCCAAGACAGCCCATCGTTATCTAGGCCCTGAAAGAACTTGGTGCATCTCTTCCAGTCCAGGTAGTTGCAAGCAGACCCCAACCTTGTCACTCAGCCTTCTAATGGTTTGGCAGAATCTCTTCAAAACCAAGTAAAGATCCTGCTTCAAAGTCTCTTTAAAACACTTTTCACACATAGGTTTTGGTTTCTAGAACTGGCACGCGACCCACTTACTTATGACACCATGTCATACCACAGAAAACAAACCCCAGAACAAATGGATTTTTTTACAGAAAGCAGGTATTGTCTAACAAAAATAGTTGGAGTTGAAGTAAAAATGTAAGAATTTGAGATTCATGAAGTAGTTTTGAAAACTGCTCTTGATTTTTTTTTTTAATRTAAAGGCACTTTAAAAAAAATGAACCAGTGAGCCAAAGTAATTCACCTGAAAATATGATTACGCTTATGCGGACTCACAAACCCATGATCATTTGTCGGCAACTCACTGTAATCCCCACCAGAACAACAACTTACTGCACCTAACCTAAATCCTACAAGTTTGGGCTATAAGGTTTTATGTTTTGAGTTATGAGCACATGCCTCTTGCCCTCACTTAAAGACACATCCCCTGAATGTGACTGCAAAACAGATTATGTACAGCACTGAAGACATCTGCTATTAATTAAAACAGAAAAAAAGCCAAGCATTCCAGAGGAGCAGCAACCACCACCCCCCCCCCTGACCGCCCACCCACTGTTATCTCTATCTTTTTCCCTTTTTGCCCTTACTATTCCACTCATCTCCACAACAACTACWTCTCCTTGTCATGTGTACTAAAGCTAAAAGGGGACCGACGAAAAAGACGAGAGAAAAAAAAGGGGGCGCATGTTCGTTGTACATTTTTGTCCCTTGAAGACTTTGGAGTCTCTCCAGCCGTTTAATAGCCACTTTAGCCTCTTCCTCTCACTTCCCCGCACACACACAAGCACACATCCTCACCACAGAAACACCGACTAGACGGAATGGATTGAGGAGTCAAGAGCATAAATAACAGAGAATAGAAAAGAGGGGGTGTTTGCGGAGGAAAATGGGTGTGGTGGAGGGGCTCTGAAGAGAGTGGGAAAAAAAAAGAGCCCAAAAAGTGAACAGTCAGAGGAACATGGAAAATCCCTGGTTCCCAGGCCAAGAATTCTTCACAGTAAAAACACACACACACACAATGTATCCGAAATCCCATAGGGGGGCTCAAAGCAAAGCAGAAGGTAGTGATAAAAGTTAGTTCATCTCAGGAGAAATCTTACTCTTCTTTTTCTATTTTCAATACTTTCCACAAAGTAGTATGAGGTAAAACAGAAATAGAGTAAAACTCACTCAAGACTTTGTGTGCACAAACTGCTTTATCTCGTTTATTTGCCTTCTTGGGAACAGTTTGACCTTCACTAAACTTTTCATACTATTGGCAATCACATCGAAAGGAATAAGCTTTTACATACCGGTATACCCAACTTTAAATAAACTTGAAAATAAGCATCAAATTTAACAACCAAACAGGCCTGATTTAAAGGGATGCGCTGCCATGAATAATTCAGCATGAACGTCCGCTGGCCAATTGCATTGCGGTTATGATAATGACCAGTTGCAGGCGGCCGCGTTACAGCTCACAGCGCATGTCAACAGTTTTCCCTTTCCTGCCTCACGCTTGCAAGTGGTGCAGTGGCTATCTATAGTCCAACACTATTTTCAGACTGTGCAGACAGGACGCAGATGAACTCACACCAACCTTTATTTACCACGTAGTGTTTGGGAGGAAAAATGTGTCACACACCAAATAATCAGCTAAGGCCGATTTTAGTACAGATAAAGTTCTCGGTTTAAAAGATCATGGAAGCGCCTGGAGGCCCGGGAATACGCCAGGATATTAATGAAGAGAATGTGACCCTTGGTCTGGAGGGAAACGAGCACCAGGCGGGCTGGGTGAGAGTKAAAGTAGAGGAAAGCTGGTTCGCGTTGGAGCGGGGTTTTCTCGAAAGGCACAGTGACTATTTCCAGGCCCTCTTTGACTCTGGTATGAGAGAAAGCCAACAGGAAGAGCTCTACCTGAAAGATGGAGTGAGTGCAAGGGGATTCCTCATTGCCCTTGCGGTCTGCAGGGATGAAACTCCCACCCTCAGTGATCCAGATGAGCTTGTTGAAGCTGTRGAGTGTGCTGCTTTTCTGCAGATTGAAAATCTGGTCCAGTATCTTTGTGATATCATARATTCGGACAACTGTCTCCTGCTTTACCATGCAGCTGCCATCTTTGGAGTGCATGAGTTGTTTCACAAAGCTGCTCTCTTTCTCTGTGATGCTTTTGACGATCTYAAGGAAGTAGCAGAGAGTACAATCCCTGAAGAGCTGCTGCAGTATTCTCAAACATTGTCTCCTGCTACTTATGTTGCCATAGGCACCCATACTCCTTCGATGGAGCTGCTACAGGACTCTTTTAGGGTTGTTTGCTTCCTGGATGAAAAGCATGGAGAGTGGAAGCATTTAACTAACCTGCCAACTCTATGTAGCACTTCCATGGCGGGGGTGGCGGTGCTTGACAATCGACTGTACATCGTTGGGGGGATTTACGGTTACGGTAAGGACGCCGTGGACTGTAGTTTCTGCTACAACCCTGAGTCAGGAATTTGGACTACTCTCCCAGGTCCCCAGCAACCAAGATATGATTTCACCCTGATCGGACACGAAGGTCGACTCTATGCCATTGGTGGCGAGGTCCAAAAACGACTCATTTCCACAGCAGAGAGGTATGACTGTACAAAGGGAGAATGGAAGTTAATCCAACATGCACCAAGACCTGTCGCATCTGCAGCTTGCGCCGTTGCACGTCGGCGAATGTTTGTGTGCTTCTGGAAGCCGCCCAACACCACAGACATCTACGAGTACATACCTCTAAAAGATGAATGGAGGCTGACCACCACACTGATCAGACCTCAAAGTTATGGCCACTGCATGGTGTCCCACAGGGACAATCTGTACGTAATGCGCAATGGGCCTTGCGATGACTTCCTGCGCTGCCTCATGGACTGCTATAACATCACAACGGGCCAGTGGACAGCCCTGCCTGGCCACTACATCAACAGCAAGGGAGCACTGTTCACCGCAATGATAAGGGGGGACTCCGCGTTCACGGTGAAACACATGTTGACTCTTGAATATACCATCGCTGCAGGTGGATGGAAACCTCGGAGGCACATGAAGGGATTCCCRAAGAGCGGTTCGCTTTGGACGTGTTTGCTCCGGCTCCCTAAAAGTGGACCGGTTACACCAAAACCGGATGTGGATAACAGGGAGGGAGAAATGTCTTTGCCAGCTGCTTCAGAAGAATTTGCAGAAGCAATAGCAAACTTATGAACCAATAACAAAAGTAAAGTAAATATGGGTCTAAGAATGAGAATAAATCTGGAWGATCTTATAAATACTCTTCCTCCCGATGCACTAACTTTTACATGCACATACCAAATATGCATGTGCTGACTCTAAGCATTTGTTCTGATCAGCAACAGCTGCTACAGTAGTTTATACTGTGAAGGCTGCTGTGTGTGTGTGTGTGTGTGTGTGTGTGTGTGTGTGTGTGTGTG